CATCATCATCATCACCCTCATCCTCGTCATCATCAGCATCAGCATCCGCATCAGCATCAGCATCAACATCAACATCAACATCATCATCATCATCATCATCATCATCATCAACATCATCATCATCGGAATCATCATCAGCATCATCATCGTCATCGTCATCTTCATCATCCCCCTCCTCCGCCTGCTTATCCTGCGTCTCCTCCTCCTCCAACAAAGTGTCCTCCTCCGCCGCCTCCCCCTGCTCCTCCGCCTCCTCATCCTCAGTATCAACAGCAGCAGACGTATCACAATCACCATCACCAGCATCATCATCGACATCATCATCATCATCACCACCATCATCATCATCGTCATCATCGTCGTCGTCATCATCATCAGCATCATGATCAGCATCATCAGCGTCGTCAGCATTAACATCATCAGCAGCAGCAGCATCGTCATCATCAGCATCCGCAGCATCATCAGCAGCATCATGAGTATGAGCACCATCATCGTCAGCATCATCAGCAGCATCATCGTCATCAGCATCATCGTCAGCAGCATCAGCAGCAGCATCATTAAACTCAGCATCATCAGCATCATTAGCATCAGCATCATCAGCAGCAGCATCATCAGCACCATCATCAGCATCAGCAGCATCATCAGCGTTAGCATCAGCGGCAGTATCACCACCAACACAACCATCATCAGCATCACCACCACCAACAACATCATCATCACCATAACCATCATCAGCATCATCATCATACTTATCATACTCAGCATCAGCATCCTGAGCACCATTCTCATCATTAGCATGATCCGCACTATTATCATCGACATCATGATACTCATCAGCATAAACATCATCAGCATCATCAGCATCATCAACATCGTCATCATCAGTATCATTATCACCATCAGCATCATCATCATCAACATCATCATCATCATCATCGTCAGCATCATCGTCATCACTGTCAACACCACTACCACCTGCACCATCATCATCATCATCATCATCATCATCATCATCATCATCATCATCATCAGCATCATCATCAGCATCCTCGTCGTCATAACAATCATCATCAGCATCGGCATCAGCATCAGCATCAGCATCAGCATCAGCATCATCGTCACCACCACCACCACCCCTATCATCACCAGCATCATCATTATCAGCATGGTCATCATCATCATCATCATCATCAGCAGCATCGGCGTCATCATCACCACCACCACCAACACCACCACCATCATCATCATCATCATCATCATCATCATCATCATCATCATCATCTGCAGCATCAGCAGCACCATCATCACCAGCATCATCGTGATCAGCATCATAATCATCATCATCATGATCATCATGATCATCATCATCATCATCACCAGCATCATCATCGAAACCACCACCATCATCATTATCATCAACATCATCATCATCGTCACCATCATCAGCAACAGCACCAGCATCATCATACATCACCAACAGCAACATCATCACCATCGTCATCGTCAGCATCAGCATGATCGTCATCATCATCATCAGCACCATCATCATCAGCAGCATCATCATAATCAGCATGATCATCATGATCATGATCATCATCATCGTCATCATCATCAGCATCATCAGCAGCATCAATCATCAGCAGCAGCAGCATCATCTTCATCATCATCATCATCATTATCCTCCTCCTCCTCCTCCACGGGATCTCAACTGCGAGCTCGAGAACTTGAGGGCGTTCGAAGCTAGCGAACCCGTCTGCTGGATCCCGTTCCTCGACCTCTCTCACCATGCTCGAGAACGATCCCTGCTGGTTCCCATCGGTCCCCCCTGTGGTCAGATACGCCGGAGAGATATAGTCGAACCTACTGAGGGAATTCGATGTCACTATTCCATTCGCTCATTTGCGAGAGGCGTGGAACTCGGCCTTTGAAGCTGCCGGTCTTTCCTGGAAGTCCTGCTCGAGTCCAGTTAAATCGATGAGGCTTTCCCTATCTAGAATTGGGTGGTCTATGCCCGAGTATGCCACGGAGATCACAGGTCAAGAAGTCAAAATTAGCCTAACCTCGGCCTGCCACAAGCTAGTCAAGAAGCCATTGCACGAGGGAGTGTTGCGCGAACTTCAGCGAGCCGCAAGGAGCAAGCTCGGTGTTGCCAAGAGCCTGCTACGACGGGATAAGCGCCGTGCTCCGCAGCAAGAAGCTTGGGGCCTTCGTTGGAGGCTGCGCCAAGGCCTGATGCTGCGACGCGATCTGGTCGCGCTCACGGGCTGTCTGGTCGGGATATCTCCCCGACAGCATTTGTTCCCCGCTCTGCCGTAGCGTTCCAGATGCGATATTCCACAGGCTCTGGTGTTGCCCAGGGGCCGAATCTGAGTGGCTCGAGAAAGTTCCCCAAGAGATCATCACTGAGGCTCTCCAGGTAGATCTCGACCAGGACGAGTTCCAACTATGTAGTAATGCTACATTCCCACATCCTGTGGACGAGCTTCCTGGCCCTGCTCAGAAAGTTACCTGGACAAATGATCCAAATTCGAGGGCTACTGAGATCCAAGGGCATGTGTTGCACGATTTTCTGCATTTCGGCACAGCGTTTCGGAGTTTTCAAGGGCTGGGTGGGGCATCTGGGTGTTCGACGGCGATGGGAACCACCTCGTTTCGATATCTGGCCCTATGTGTATGTGGACCGAATTGCCCAAGACGTCCCAAGCTGGTGAGTGTTGGCCCCTCTCAGCTGCCAAAAATCTGCTTAGAGGACCCTCGAAGGCCAAGGCCTACAGTGATTGCCTTAATGTGGTAAGAGCTTTCGCTCTACCGCCCGCCCTTAGGACCTTTCATCGGGGGCCTTCCTCTCGGATGTTCCTAGCATGAGGAGTGCCCAGAGCACTCTTTCCCCTGACGTTGTCAAAATCCGCCGACCTTGTCGGCGTGTGCAAGGGGTTTGTCTGCTCGAGTCGTCGTCTCCGTCAGTCGTCATCTGCGTCGTCCCCTTTCCCTGCACACTCCTCAAGCCTGTCAGCGAGAGGGAGACCTCGCAATGTCCTAATCGAATCGAAGGGAAGCCCCTTCCCTTGGATCCCTCCCCCGGGGGGTAGGGGGGGGTCCCAGGGAGGTAGGGGGGGAAGGTCATATACCCATGCCCCCTCTGGGGGTCCCAGGGCTGGAAACAATACCCAGAGGCCCCCGAGACGGTCCAAGAGGCCCGTGAGACGGTCCAAGAGAGCCCCAACTCGCCAGACGATCGGTCCAAAACGCCTTCACGCTCCCAGAATGCCCAGGAGACCACCAAGACGCTCCCAGAGGCCTCCAAAAGCACTCACGAGAGGGCCCCACAAGAGGCAAAACGCATTGATTTGTCTGAGGTGTTTAACAGATTTGGGCGTTCTCGCCTTTTCCGCTTCCCGCCGCTCCAAGACGGCCGAAGAGGCCCTCAAGATCGCCCCAAGACGGCCCAAGAGGCTTCCAAGAGCGCTCCAAAACATCCCAACAGAGCCCCAGGACAGCCAAAAATGACTCCAAGACTCCAAAACGGCCCACGAGGCCCCCAAGACGGCTCCAACAGCGTGCCTTGACGGAGAACCCGGACGGACGTTTAGAGCCCTCGGCCCCGAGAAGCTCCCAGGAGGCCCAAGAGGTTCGCAAGAGCCCCCAAAAACAAGAGGCCCCCAGGACACCCGAAAAGGCCTCCAAGAGGCCCACAAGAGGAAAGACCCCAAGAAACATCCATGAGGACTCGGGCCCACGTCAGCGTCGTCATCGTCGCCGCCGCCACCGCCGACGTCGTCGTCGACGTCCCCCTGCAGGGTCGGCGGCACTGGCCGTAAGGCCTTCGCAATCGACGTCCACCAGTGAGTCAGATGGTTGAACTGCCTTCGAACTGCCTTACTAAGCTGGTAATGGCGCTGCAGACGCGGCGGCTAAGCGAGGAGCCTTCGCCCACCCCCGCTTTCCCGATCACGAGCTGCAGTCCGTAGATAGGCAAGTGTGTATCGCCAAGTATGTTTGCCAGCTTGCTCGCACACTTAAGCCCTGCTGGCAACGGCTCGATCTAACTGGTGTTGGTCATGTCCCCGCCATCCCCTTGGCCCCTGAGGCCGGAGTCTCGTCGCCACCCCTGACTCGGGTCATCCTGGAGGTGCCAAAACTGCCTCTGATTTAAGAGGCAAGAGACTAGCCGAGGACCCCTGGAAATCACAGGGTGGGGACGAGGAAGTTCGGGGTTCGGGGGGGAAAAAAATGTTTCGTCCAAGCAACTCGTATGAAGGATGATACCGTATGTTCATGGGCCTGCCACACGTTCGTGAATTGGCAAAGCGGAAATGATGAGAATCCAATGGCCCTGCCACGCGTCCGTGACTTGGGAATGCTGAAACCCAATCGGCGATGAGTGGAGGGGGCAGCCGGGCTTTCCCCCCAGAGCAGATTCCCCCTATTGTTGCCCTTGATCTCTCCGACGCATGATGGCATTCGGCTCATAACTCAAGCCTCTGGCGGCCGTTTGCGACGAGCAGGGAAAACCTGGAACGCACTCGGCAAGGCCGAGAAGCCACACAAACGCCCTAACTTCAAACTTCGAAACTTCGTCCCCCCCTGAGCCCGTCCCCCCTAGCAATGCCTCTGAAGGATGGGGGACGAGGATTATGTTGTCCACATCGTACTTCAAAACCACATCCCTATAATGATATCGAGCTCCCAAAAAACTATCGAATGTTTGCCCAGCACGCTAGCGAAACGTCGAACAAGCACAGCCCCTAGGGCCCGACACGTGAAAATCCTCCGATGTTGGTACCATCCTGGGTGAGGATGCCATCTCGTTGCCCCTGGTCTTAAGTTGAGCGTGTCCCTCTACAGGAGGAAGATTCAAAAATTGCATTGGAAAAGAAGTCTGGGAACGGTGTTTTGAGTATGTTTGGTCATGTGTTAAGTATGTTTTGACTATGTTTAGTTTTTCGCCGAAAATTCGCTTGCAGGAAGGCACGCCCGACCTAACCCTGGCCCCTTCCCGCCGGGATCGTCGTGCGCCGCGCCCGGCACGAGGTGGGCGGTGGCCACGGACCTGGCTGAACCCCGGGAAGGAGGAGAGGAGCAAGAGGAGGACGAGGGGGAGGAGGATGAGGAGGAGGACGAGGAGGAAGAGGAGGAGGAGGAGGAGGAGGAGGACGAGGAGGAGGGGGGGGGGAGCTGGGAGGCAGCTACTGGGAGGTCTTCGCCGGCAGGATTGAGGATTCAGCCCCATTGGGGGGCTGCTACGCCGGGTCAGGCCGCGGACTTGGCGGGATGAAGGCGGATCGAGCGGGATCGTAGCGGGACTTCGGACTAGGGCAGCGTCAGATTTGGACCTCCCAGGGGACTGGCATAGGGGGGATGCATCGACCTGGAATCGGCGATACATCGCGCATAGATCGGCGACAGGCCCCCGATAGTGAATCCTGGGTGGGGAGAAGCTATCCGGCCCCTATCGGCGATCAATGGGCGATTGAGAGTCGATGCATCCCCCCTATGCCTATCCCCCTATCGCTATGTTGGCCCATCGTACACTTAAGAACCACATCCCAGAAGTAATTTCGAGCGCCCAGAAAAAAGTGTCGAAGCAGTGTCGAACGAGCGCCGCATCCAGGGGCCCGACACGTGAAAACCCTCAGGCTGCGGTACTGTCGTGGTGCTCGCAATTATTTCTGATGGTCCAGGCTACAGTAGGTAGGAACATCATAACCCTACCGCTGCCCCCGATGAGGGAGGGAGGGCGCGGCGGCGGCGGCAGCGGCGGCGGCGCGGCGGCGGACAGCGGCCAGCGCGCGCGGCGCGAGAGCGCGGCGCGGCCGAGCGGGCGCGGCGGCGGGCGTGGCGCGGTCCGCAGAGGCGGCGGGCCCTCCATGGGACTCTGGGGGGCCCCGGCGCCGCGAGGGAGGGACATCCTGCCTCCTCCCTCCTCCCTCCTCCGGGACGTCCTCCTCCCTCCTCCCTCCTCCTCCTCCCTCCCTCCCTCCTCCGGGACATCCTCCTCCTCCCTCCTCCCTCCTCCGGGACGTCCTCCTCCCTCCTCGGGGAGGGAGCGCGCGCCTCCGCCCTCCTCCGGGACATCCTCGCGCTGTGGAGAGATCACGGCGGGAGGCTTTTCGCCACGCTCGGCCTCGGGACTGGCAAAGAACGACTCGGGCTGAAGAAACCGGTCCCCGGGAGGGGGTCCAGGCTCCTGGGGGTCACGTCATGGAAAAACCACAACTTCGGGGGTCTGGGCTCCCTGCCCCCTCCTCCCTCCATTCCCTCCAAGAGAGCTCCTGGTCCGTCGAAGGCGGCCCGGAGGCGCGGGAGTGAAGGCGGCAGAAGGGAGCGGCGCAAGGGAGGAACGGAGGAAGGGAGGAAGGGAGGGAGGGAGGCGGCGCAAGAGGACTCCGCAGCTCATGGCTAGGGGCACCGCTGCTCCTGGCAGGGGCCGTCTGGCGTGCATCGTGCGCACGGCCCCTACCCCTCTTTCTCCTCTTCTTCGTAAATCCTCCTCCTCCTCCTCCTCCTCCTCCTCCTCCTCCTCCTCCTCCTCCTCCTCCTCCTCCTCCTCCTCCTCCTCATTCCTCCTCATTCCTCCTCATTCCTCCTCATTCCTCCTCCTCCTCCTCCTCCTCCTCCTCCTCCTCCTCCTCCTCCTCCTCCTCCTCCTCCTCTCATCATCATCATCATCATCATCATCATCATCATCATCATCACCACCACCACCACCACCACCAACCACCACCACCACCATCATCATCATCATCATCATCATCATCATCATCATCATCATCATCATCATCATCATCATCACCATCACCATCACCATCACCATCATCACCATCACCATCTTCATCTTCATCATCATCAGCATCATCATCATCAGCATCATCATCATCATCACCAACATCATCAGCAGCAGCAACTTCAGCATCATCATCGTCACAACCACTACCGCCACCATCATCATCATAATCATCATCATCAGCAGCAGCATCATCATTATAATCGTCATCAGCATCATCATCATCATCATCAGAATCGTCATCAGCATCATCATCATCAGCAGCATCATCATCATCAAAACCACCACCGCCACCATCAGCATCATCACCATCAGCATAGTCATCAACATCATCGTAATGATCATCATCATCAGTATCATCAGCATCAGCATCATCATCATGTTGAGCATCACTATCATCATCACCATCACCATCACCATCACCATCATCAGTATCATCATCGTCATCATTAGCAGCAACATCATCATCATCATCAGCAGCAGCATCATCATGTTCAGCAACATCATCATCATCATCATCATCATCATCATCATCATCATCATCATCATCAGCAGCAATAGCATTATCATCATCAGCAGCAGCAGCATCATCACCAGCATAAGCATAAGCATCAGCATCAGCAGCATCATCATAATCATAATCAGCATCAGCATCCTCATCCTTATCACCATCATCAGCAGCATCATCATAATCGTCATCATCAACAACAACATCATCATCATAATCATCCTCGTCCTCCCCCTTCCGTTCCAATCTCACCATCACCCAGCTTCCCACTCCCGACTCCCTCTCCTCCTTCCGACCCGCCTTCCTACTCCCTCTCATCCTTCCTACCCCCTAGAACTCTTCTCCTAACTGTCCCGTCCGACATCGAGGCCGAAACGCATGGGGTTCGAGAAAGTGGGCCGGTCGAACATATCGGATCGCCGGTGCATCGGCGATGCACCAGCGGCGACCCGGATGAAGAGAACCATGTTCCAGACCGTGCCGCATCGCCGATGCATCGGCCATGCTGCGTGTTCCTCCAGCCCACCTGGTCTGGCTACACGTAAACAATTTTTCTCCATGGCTTTTCTGACGACCGTAACAACAAAAGAACAAACAGCACATAGGCAAGTGCCAGCGATGCTTCAATAATATGGGCAGGTGAAGGAGCGAAACGATTGAATCAAACTCAAAGTTTGATGCAGATGGTCTATAGAGATGAGTAGATCTATGTACGCATACATATTCCTCTTCCTATATTTTTGTTAAAAGCCTGGGCGGGGGGAAGCCCCCCCGAAAACCGGACTCCCAGGATCTGGGGCTTTGGGACCCTCCAGACGAGCCTCGAAGCGGCCCCCCGGGCCTCGCAGGGCGTAGGGGGTCATCGGAGACGTCCCAGAGACCCCCAAGACAGCTCAAGAGCACTCCAAGAGTGACCGACGTGACCTCAAGATGGCCCAAGAGGCCTCCAGGACGGCCCCAAAGAGGCCTCCAAGAGCACTACCAAGAAGGCCCCAAGAGGCAAAAATCATGTATTTTCTGTTGGTTTTTGGTGAATGTTGGGGCTCTCCTCTTTTCGGCTTCCCGACGCTCCAAGACGGCGGTCTCCTGGGCGTCCGAAGCCGCCTGGGAGGCTCCAAAATCGCCCCACAACCATCCGAAAGGGCTTCCAGGCAGTCCAAGAGAGCCCCACAACGGCACAGCATGGGTCCAAGATGGCCCTCAGAGAGCCCCATGGCGGCCCAAGATGGCCCCAAGACACCCTCCGAAGCATTCCAAATCGTGACCTGGTCGTTCAGGGAGAACGCGGTTGGAGGCAGGGTGGCCCGAGGAAGCCCCCACAGGCCCCCAGAATACGCCCAGGAGGCCTCCAGAAGGCCTTAAGAAAGCCTGAAACAACTTTTGCGAGGCCCCCAGAGGCTCTCCAAGGAGGAGCCTCCGCAAAAAAGAGCTGAGGAGGATGGGGAGAATGCGCAGGTTATGGCGAAAATGAAGAAAAAGAAGCATGGCAGAAGGATAACGAATAACAGTATTATAGCGGCGATGCCGGAAAAGGCAACTAGGAGGTATCGCTAAATTGTCGGCTTGACCTTTCTGATATTCCGCCTGCATACCAAGCTTCAAGGACCAAGGTGCATGGCGCGAAGCCCGACTGCAGCCTTGTGTATATAAATATATATATATATATATATATGTATACTAGAACCATCGCGCGCGCTTCGCGCGCGCTCAGGTTCTAGCCCAGGCCGGGGGGGCGCTGGACGATCTTGGACAACGCTATCAAGCACAGGCGCGCGACGGCATCTGAGGATCTTCTGGGGTGTTCCGCATGCTTCGTCAACTGGCTGTTGGAGGCACCTCTTGGGTGCCTCTTGGGGGGGCGTCTGAGGGTCCCTTGGGGGCATCGGTTCTGCAATCTGAAGCCGTCATTGGCCGTCTTGGCTGCGTGGAGGCCCGACTTGAGGCTACCTGCGGCCAGATTGAGGCAATCCGGAAGCCTCCCGGGGGCCTCCTGGAAGCAGTTTTGATGCATTTGGGGCACTCTTGGGCTATTTTAAAGCCTCTTGGACGTCTCCCAGGGGCCTTTTGGGCCCTCGGGGAGCTTTTGGGGTCCTCGTCGGACCACTTGGGGGCCTCTTGCGGCCTCCTGTGGGCCTTGTGGGGGGACCGCTCTGCTGTTGGGTCGCGTTCCCCTTCTCGGGCCTCTCTTGGGGCTCTTGGGGCCCTCTCGGGCCGTCTTGGGCGCCTCAAGCACCGTCTTGGGGCCCTCGCGGGCCGTCTGGGGGCCCTCTTGGAGGCCTCTTCCTGTGGGAGCGGTATCGGAAGCCTTTGGGGCCGTCTTGGAGCATCGGGCTGCAAAAAAAAATAACGTCAAAGCCCAATCGTAAAACAATGAGTTGTGCCTCTTGGGGCCACCTTGAGAGATCTCTTGGAGCCTTGTCGGCCCTCTTGGGAGCTTCTTGGGGGCCTCTTGGATCCGATTGGGGGCCTCCTGGGACTTCCCGAGAACCTCTCGGGGTAGAAAGCTCGGATTCTCGGTTCATGTTTCCCTTCTTGGGCCTCTCTTGGGGCCGTCTTGGGGCCCTCTCGGGCCGTCTTGGGCGCCTCAGGCACCGCCTTGGGGCCCTCGTGGGCCGCCCAGGGCCCTCTTGGAAGCCTCTTCGGCTATCTTGGAGCTGTCTGGGAGGCCTCTTCCTCCTCCTCGTCCCCCTCCTCCTCCTCCCACTCCAGCTCTCTCTCTCCTCCTGATCTTCCTCCTCCTGCAGCGTGTTCCGGAAGG